TGTGGTAAATTCTGCACTAGAGGATTTTTCTCCTATCAAGAATGACTTTAACAGTAAGCAAGAGGGAGACAAATATAAAAAGCAAGCTTCAGAAACTGCAAAAGAAGTGAGATAAAGAGTCAAGGTCTTGTCCTGCTCTGGTTCTTTTAATACTTGGACACAGTCCCCTCCTGACATCCCAGAGGTGTAGATGCATCCCCTGTATCCAGACACCAATTGCAAAATCCACTCTACAGCTTCCCAGCAAAGAAGTGGTTCTTCCACCCTAGGAAAATCCCCCACCCTGCCAAGATGAAGCTTTATCTACTCAGTGCCACGTAAGTTGTACGAATTAACCAAAAATGTGAAGGAAAGAAAGAAAGAAAGAAGGAGAAAAGACAAACACCCAGCGCCTCAATACCAGCTTGTCTTTGCAGCCAATATACCAACCAAAATTGAAAAAATCAAAGAGAAAATTGAGCGGGCAGCTCACTGCAAGATCAGACCTCTGAATGAATGCGACTGCCATATAATAAATCAGTATTATTTATGTTTCTTTTAAGAAATAGAACACATACTCAATTAGGCACATATGAATGCAGAAACAGACTTTATGCTTCTCAACTTTTTTTCCTCAATTTACAAGGATTATTTCTGCCAGCTCTGTTCTTAGCATAGAAAATGGTACCAGATAAGGAATCCAAAAACTGTAATTCTGTGACTTTACCTGCAGACTCAATACCTGCAGAAATTCTAACAATCTGAGGTTTAATCTCCATGCCTCCATCCCTCATGAGGCCTGTGCGGATCGCCTGTGGCTTTAATATTATCCAGAATAGCCCAAATAATGTCTAGTGCAAATATTGAAGACGCTTCAGCAATGGCATCCCAGAAAATCCCATCAATATAATTCTGTATTCAGTAAAGGGTGGATAATATAGAGACACAAATTCTTTAGACCACTATTTAACACCAAAACCAATTCAAGACTGAGCAGCAAACAATTCTGTCACCCACTGGACTAACGGCTGTCTCATGTAAATGATCCTGTGTAATGTCATGTGATGCTGTAGTTAAGCAAATTAATTGCAAATTATTGCTTTTAGATAGCTGAGCAGTTACCCTGACCCCAACATGGTTGGAAGTGGTACTGTCTGTCGACAGCCACTTCCTAAAACGTGTCTCCTGCACCCCCAGAATTCCTCTCTCCTAAAATAAACCACTTACATCACAGAGTAATCTTGATTCCAGCATTTCTCAACTTTCACATTAATTTACAACCTTTATATTCGTTTAATATACACTCCCTCTACTTAAAATAGGTACATATTGCCCTTGAGGTGTTCAGAGGCATTGTGAGACTGTTTATTCGTGCTCTGGCAGAAGAATCACAGACCCTTCACACCTCTTCAACACTGAGAGCAACACTGCCCAGCTTGGATGGAAGCAGATTAAATGATAACACCTCACTGTATCTCCAGATCTCAAAATACAGCACTGTATTTTTCCAAATATTGTTTGCCTTATTGTAACTGCTACTGATTGTGGACTGTTCCTGTTGTAGTGGGGTTGGTTTGGTTTGGTTGTTTTAATGTTATGATAATAATAAATACGTCTTAGCATATAAACTAGAATCCTCTACAGCTTCTCTAACTCTTACATATGCAATGTTGTGTTGTGATTAATTGTATTAAGTACATTTTCTAAACAGCAACTGGAAACACAAAAGGTGATGACAAGAGGGTGTTTAAGGGATTCATGAATGCTACACAAGAACATAAGCACATGGAGATGCTAGTTAACATGCATATGAACAAATAAATATGAATTTAGTTAAAAAATCAGTTACATTACGGTCCATCTTGCACAGTAACCATAATTGGTCCCCTCCCTGAGACCATTTACAGCATGCAGAATTCAAAGGACATATTCCTTTGCATTTCTGGTATTAAGCATAATATTGAAGATCATCGCCCCCAGTGGGCTAAGTCCCGGCCAGCTCCATAACCACCTCTCATTGCAAGACCATGAGCTAGTTTCAGAAAGACTGGGGGAAAGAAGAAAATCCACATAAGGTACAATGGTAATTAATCATGTTATTAATTTCTTCTCATTCACAAGTAGGCCATATTGAAAAGTCTGCCTCTTAAGCTGAGTTAAAGAAAAGCTAAGGCAGAGCGTAGCTAAAGCAGAAAGATTTATACACAACTTTTATCATTAACTCATTTAAGACCTGAGTGCGGCTCTCGTAAAGCAGAAAATGGCTTTATGGTCAAGCATTTATGCCATGAATAGCATTCGGATCACTAGAGTTAGCAAGGACCATCTGCAAAAACGCCATCAGGAGAATTCCAGGAACTTACAAACTCATTCTTGGTACTAGCTCTTTGTTAAGCAACTCCCATCCAGTGAATGTCACTCCAATAGAAGATAGTACCACTTTAAAACAAAAGGTAAGATGTTTTAGTCTACATCGCATTTGCGGTAATAATTACTTGAAAACAATACAAAGGAAATCCCAACAAAAATCTTCCATTAGTTGGGGCCTTACTATCTCTGACTACAATCTCGTTTGCTGATACTGCCAAATTTTTCATAAACCCCTTCTATCATTATTCCCTAGAATTTAAACAATTACTGGGCGGAATCAAAAAACTGCTCAACCATGGCTTTCTAATCTAGCAATTAAATCCACCTGTAAGATGCTGGACAATTTGTTTCCTGTGTCTATGACTATTACTGCAGTCAAGTATTTTATACTAGGTGGTGTAACATCACCAGGTACTGAGGGATACAGCTGGAAATCAAGCCACACTTTGATAAGGTCAGAAAAATCCACCCAAGATTCTCCACAGAGAGAGGTCCCAAATGAGACAGATGTCCCATGCCCCACAGGCTGTTAGTTAAACATAGGATATATTCTGCCACCACCATTTATTGTTGTTTTAGAGTATTCTGACTGACTGTCAATGTGGTTATTATTTTTAGTTAACTTCACTCAAATGACTGACCGAATAGTTTAGATTGACCAATCCATGAACACATTGTTAAAAAACAATTCCTGTTTAGACAAACAATGCAGGAACCTGCTGGTTCATTTTACCTAGCCCTCTGCTGTTGCAGCCAAGCACGTCATTCAGCCTCTCTTGATGTATCAAGGGCCATTTTAGGATTACTTAGGCTAATTCTGGTTTAGCTAGCTTGGCAACTCCGGTATTAGCAAAAAAAAGCTATGGCAACATAGTGTCAGCATGAGTTAAACATCCGCAAACCCAGGGTCCCAGAGATACTCACCTCAGACTGGGTCTCCCACTGCACTGCTAACAGTAACCAAACCAGGTGCACCCAAGCAATGCCAGGTTTGCTAAACAGTACCACACACCATTCCCCCCTCATGATGCAGCGCAGAAAACACATTCCTTCCAGCCACTCATCAAGTAAATCAAATACTGCTCCGTAACAAACAGATATTAGTATGCTCGTACCTCCACAAGGTACCTATTCAGAATAGGCACTGCCTTTTCAGTCCCTGTACGCGTGGATCGTGGCCGGCACGCCTCGCCGTCGGTGACGTAGGCAATATCTCTCTTCAAACAACAGGAATTGCAGTAGTCTCTTTTAGCTAGGTATTTTCCTATCTTTAGCTAGGTGCGATTGCATCCTGTTGCATTATGCCTCATTGTGATCATCCATCCCAATTTGATATCTCTTTCGTGTGGTTACTCCTGCAGAGAAAATTCTGGATTTTATCCAAATCATGGAAAATTTTGCCCATTTAGATTACCTGAAGATGATAACCTTTCTACTGGAAAGTTCCCATCTGGCTAGAAATATTGCTACTGCATTTTTCAGGGATGTGATTCCTTCGCAAATGACCCAACATTATACTTCAGAAACAAAAATGCAAAACTTTTTCAAATCCTCCTGAAGAAAAAATGAGCTCTTATTCCAAATTACACACACAAATAGCATAGCGGTTAAATTTGTCTTTGGGAAGCTGTCAAAAATGGACAGTGTCAATGCATTTTTTTCCCTTGGCAATGAAAATACCTTATTTAATGGTACAGCAGAGAGATCTGTGAAATCACTATACAAATACTATAGAATTCGACAGCAAGGTTTTCTGCCAAGTGACTCAATATATCAATAGTATGCGTTCCACAGTATGTGGGTCATTATGACAAAAAAATCATACTATTATTTTTGTTTGATTCCTTAATTATCTCTCATATTCTATTGAAGCATTATATTTTATGCACGTAACATACAATGCAAATGCATACATATTTTTTAATATACTTACGTATATATATTACATTATACATCATTGTATTGTATCATATCATATTGTACTACCTTTGAGTAGTAACGATTTCCTAAGCTAGGATCTAATTCTGTGCTGCAACATGAATGCTTGTCTGTGCTTTGCAATTAAGATTAATATTGGTTTTAAAACAAAAAAATGTTTTACAAAAGCCCCTCTTCAGATGAAAATGCATATTCACTCATAATATTGCTGACATGGTAATACATGGTTGATGACAAAAAATAACTGGTTACTTCAATTCTTTGTGCATAGTAAGCAGTCCTGTCAACACAATGAAGTTCTGAGGCAATTATAAGGGGACTTAGCAAGATTGGTTACGAAATGCAAGTACAGAATTAGCAAATAAAAAACCAAACAGTAATGGAGAATAAACATCACTAGAACATAGGTAATCTTGCTACGTTTTTTACTCCCAGTGATCATTTCTGTATTTTATGTAATATTTCTGTAATTAATTGCACTTTTTGTTATTGCACATTTTTCAATTTATATAAATGGACCATTAGTCCAATTTGCCAATCTAGTCAATAGGAAACAAGTGTATTGATCATTGGTACAATCAGGCATCTGTTCTTCAAAATTAACGCACCTATGCTGTTTTACACATACTATCTGGCTTCAGAACCAGAGAGAGATTAGAGAGATTTCAAAATAAAACACGTCTTGGATAGAAAAAGTTGTTTTAGAATCCTACCAGAGTGATCAAAGACAACCTGGTTGGCAGGATGTGGGCCTGCATCTATGGATAAAACGGGGACTGACTGCCAAAAGTCCCAGCGCTTCATCACACCAGAAGAGTCACAGGAAGCAACCGTATCACCCTGTCAATGTTGGAAACAAAATAAAGGCATTGCTTCGGTACTTTTGCAAAGAAGAAAGCGTATGACACAGGGCTGGATACCCACTGATGCCAGACATAGTAACTGTACATATTTAAATAAATGTAAGTTATTATACGTGAGGTTATCACAGCCTCTTAACAGCTATGTTGACTTGAATGGCAACAATACAATATGGCTTTTAAAGAGAACAGTTCAGGAGAAACTGTAAGTAAAAAAGACAAAAGAGGTTATTTTGAATTCTGATACCTGTGTCCCCTAAGAACACGGCTTGTGATTACACCTTTTCTTCTCACAGAGACACAGGAATGGCCCTTTAGCCCCGATTTTTAATTTGTCTACTCATGTTTTCAATGTGAAGCATAAGATTAGAGCAGAACATACACTCCTTCGTTGCTGTACGTTCACTAACAGCCGCGCTAAGGACAATATCAATCATTTCAGTGAGTCAGATGGATGCAGGGACTATCTATGCAAGGAAAGATAGCAGGACCACGTCCCCCATTCCTCTCTTCAATATTAATTAAAAAAAAAATAAAGAAGTGGCAGAAGTATTTTGCATAGGTAGCATATGAACAAATGCAAAAATCAAAGAAGGCAGAGTAAAGGATGCCCAAACATAACTTTGTTTAGCTAATTCCTGCCACCATAAGAGAAAGAAACCCCTAGTTACTAACGTAGAAACATTTACTTTTCATTTTAACCTCCTAAATAAAGATTCAAAATCCCCAAATGAGCTCAGCTGATGTGCACTCAGAGTTATCAAAGTCAATGTCTTTTCCAATTTATGCCAGAGTGTAAGATTAGATTAAAGGATATTGTTTTGAAGAAGAATCACAATGGTATGGAACTGAGAATCCGGTAAAACATGGGTCAGATGCTGCATCCATGACTTTTTAAATATTCAGTTAATTTTTACGTCTTTCACATAAATAACACCTGCAAGAAAATCTGTGGAGTTATCTAGCAAATAGAGGAATTAAGATCTGAAAATATCCATTGCCTTCTCAAGTAGAAAGTAATGGCCTGCGAAACACTATTACGGTATAAGTATAATGACATCTTTAGGTTCATTTGGAGGAGATCTAAAATGTCAGAACTCCATTCTGGCTTGTAACAGGGCCTAATACAGAGTAACACCAAGAAACAAAGTAATCATTGCTTGGAGAATTCAGCTGGCAATGCATAAGCGCTCAGCACTCACTGTTTTGCAAAAAAGCTCAGTAACCGTAACGACATCACACCTCAACACAGTGGTGCTGAGCATTATGGAAAAGCTATTTGTTTAACTATCTCACCAGCTGTAACAACCTAATTCTCTTTCATTTCATCTGGCTCCTTTCATGAAGTTCAGCCTATACAAACGACGAGGTCAAGCAGGCCCTTCGGGAAACAAATAACAAATAACGCCACATAAAACAGCTACACTCCAACTTGTGGCATGGCTTGAACTGGACTGGAAAAAAAAAAGCATCATCATGGATGTGAGACTGGAAGAGTCGTCAACTCCAGTCTCCGACTATTATAAGCAATGCTTTCATATGCTTGCCTTGATAAAAGTACTGAATTCCAGATTAGCAGCAGTTCCCTCATCCATCCCCTGCCACTGATCTAGAACCTGCCTGTTCTTGCATTTATAGATCTTTCAGCACATAAGTGAGAGTTTAAAAGTACTTGTTCACATGCAACCTATATCTTTTAGGTTAAATACAAGGGTTTTTTCCCAGAGATGCTCCTCCCTTCTTCCCTGTCCCTGATGCATTTCACTTACAGTATCATTCATATCCCCCCTCTGACACTATTTTCTGGGCTAAACGGCTGAAGTTCTTTCTTCTCTCCTCCCCACACTTTTCAGATAGCATGGAGTCTGGATTAACTATGAACGTACCCATCACTGATTTTTATAAAGCAACTCTTGCAAAAGTGATCACCAATTCTGGAAGCCCATTCTGAAATTCCTGTAACCTGACTTTCAGAGAGGTTACAGATGCGTATCTCAGCTGAGCAGAGGGTTTGGTGAAGCTGGCACGCAGCAGCAACTACGAAGTAGGGTGGTGAGACACTCATGATCAAGTGGGACGTCTCCTTTCCTTAGGTCGTTACCTGTCACGCCAGTAAAGGGAAGAGGAACTGAGTATGTGCATGTAGAAAGATCCCTCCATTCCTCAGTGTACATACTCGGCTTCTGGACCAGCTCTCTACACCTCACCATCCTCTCTCTTTTCATTTTCTTCTGCAAAGATGATATCCAACATTATCAACAGTCCACTCAGGAAATCACTGGTATCCCTTATACCCATTATTTCATAATCTCTAATAGGACTTTGACATATTCTTGGATTTTACTCCTGATTTTTTCCATCCATAGAGGCATTTCAGTGAATATTACCTTCTTGGGGGGATTGATTTTGTTTTGGTTTAGAATATGCCTGTCTTCAAACTACTTCAGTTCAATTCAATAAACGCTCCTTAATTACAGCTTTGGTAACTCAGCAATTTGAACTAGATCAATGGACAGCCCATCTGGGTAAGACGCTACACAACCCACTCCGTGTAGTTACAGCAGACACTCCAGTGGGTGCTCTGTGACTCCGTCTTATGTCACCAGCAGTTGTGTCCATGGATTTCCAATACGACATTCCTCTCTTAAGTAACAGCACGGTCCAGCTAATAGATCATAATAGCACCAAGAATGCTTCACTGAAACAGGTATTATGCAAACATTGATCAGAGACAGTCCCTGCCACAAAGCAACTGCAGCTGTAGAGCTGACTTTGACCTTCCCACTGGTCCTGATTAAGGGATTGTTCCGAGTTGCATAATTACGAGGAAAACAATCTGATCTACTTTTACTACAGGTTCTTCCTCCTATGAGTTAATTTTGCTACAGTAGCTGGCACACCACAAGAGAAGATCCATACCCCATCCTCTTTCAGTCTCGCCATCCTATTCTCTGCCACATTTACTTTCTCCCATTTCTACTACAGATGCCTAAGAAATACAAGGGTAAGCAAACCTCCCCCCGCAGGAATTTACACAGTCAAATCGTTGCTACGTACTGGATACACTGAACCCCCCTAACCTGTTATTTAAGCTCTCTTTCACGAGGTGACTTGTGGCCACACCAGAAAGGACAAGCCCCCCTGATCCCTGCAGAAACTATCTGAACAGAAGCAGTGCTGCAGAGCAGCACCGCGCTGGGAGCACCACCCCACCGTGCTAGGTGCTGTGTAAACAAGCTGGAGAAGGCAGTCCTGCTCCGAAGGGTTTACAATCTATCTTAGCAGCAAGATCAACCAATTCTTGCTGTCAAGTCTGCAGACTTTTTATCAATTTTCTCCCAGATACGCAGTATAAACAAACTGTGCATAAAATGCAATGCCCAGTAGCATATTGCGCCTCATTTCTATGAAAAGGCAGCAGACCTCATCTGCAAACAGAAGTAAGAAAAGACAGGGTTCTGACGGTAACACATCAACACAGGCGAACAGGTATTTTATCAGCCTTGGCATACTCTGTCCACAGACTTATTATTAAATGCATTAATTATTACTGATACCTAGGCAGCTGCTGCACTAAGAACATACCAAAAGGATTTTGTTAATGAGCCAGCCAGAACATTTCACCACTTCTTCCCTTCATGTGATCTCCATTACATACCTTTTCTAAATCAAGTGAGCTGGAGATGTGGGATAACAACTTTTCAATAGGAACAAATAAACCAGGAATGTAATCAAGCTGAAAGATAATTTGAAGCTACGTGCCATTCAAAGAAAAAGAAAGGGATAAGTCATATGTGAAACGAACTCATTTGCCTCTGGCCATGGGCCATTTTCAAAAGCTTTAAAGCAGAATCACTTTGAGTTCTCCTGTGAGCTTTTGACTTTTTAATTCCTTTTACAGTTATTATTTTAGTTATTCATGGAAGAGCCCTCTGCCATGCTCTTGTTTTCTTCTTTTTGTTTCTTGCCACACTACAGTCTTTTTTATGATGTCTTTCTGATGACATCATATTTTACTGAACAGCAAGCTGGACCATCAGGGCTTGACTGATTTTCCTACATCTAAAAGGAGAAGACAATGAGATCCGAGGAGAAAATGTGCAAAAGCAGATTTCCGTTGTACTGATTTTCACTTACGCTACATTTTACGCTGCAGCAGCCACAGCTCAGTTCTATTACTTCCTCTAATCAAAGAACGTGTAGAATGATTCATAAAACTGGTAAGACTTGCCTCCTATTCTATATAATCAAGTTGGTACTTTTTTGTGTGTGCACGCTTAAGTAATTAAAGAATTTATACAGGGATTCAATTAGTCTGGATTAAAAGACTGGTTCTGTTCCAGGCTCCACTTAAAGGACTCTGCAAGTCCTTTAACTGCCTTTACAGTTCCACCCTCCGCTCTTTACCTTCCCTGCCAACTTAACGAGCATCTTTATATCACAGAAGATCTCCCACTAAAATGGGTATGCTCAGCCCCATATACAACATAATCCCAATCTCAGCTGGCATTTGCAAAGTGTTGTAACACAAATAATTATAACATCAGGAATTAACAGATTTAGGTCATTTCCAGGAAGTTTTAAAAATCCGTTTCCTTCTTTCCTTTTTTTTAAATATACATTTTTTCTTGTGAATATTAATAATGATTAACAGTGGGACTAATCACCAAGTACACTTTAGATAAATATTTCCTGAAAATTGCTGTTTCACACTAGCAAGAACGATAAAAATCTGAATAATTACGTCTCTTGCTTATGAACACACCTCTGGATTTAATGCTGAAAGATCAATAATATATGAAATACAGCAAGTGGCTTTACCTAATTTAGACTGCGATAAACTCCTCCCAGGAGTATCCTCTTCAAAGTTTAATTCTGAGGGCAGGTCAGTAGTTGTTTCATGACCTTTTGCAAATATTTTTAAAAAGGCAAAATAGTGAGTGAACAGGCAACTCATTTTCACTAGGACAAGTTCATAAT